GATGATGATGATGATGATGATGATGATGATGATGAACGTCATCATCATGACGGCACTGCTGCTGATGATGTTGCTGTTGGTGACAATGATGTTGAGTATGTTGATAGCTATGCTAATGATGATTATGTTAATGTTGATGCTGTCGATTATGATGTTTATGCTGATGATGCTGATGCTGATGATGCTGCTGATGATGACGATTCCGATTACGATGATGATGATGTTGATGATGCTGATGATGAGGATCATACTGGTGCTGATGATGCTGCTGCTTCTGATTATGATGATGTCGTTGATGCTGATGAGGATGATGATTACAAGGATGATGCTGATGATCCCGCTGACGATGATGATGATGATGCTGATGATGCTGATGATGATGATGACGATGACGGTGACGATGACTATCAACGATGATGATGCTGCTGATGCTTATGCAGATTCTGATGATGACGATGACGATGTCGATGTCGATGATGATGATGATGATGATGATGATGATGATGATGATGATGATGATGATGCTGATGAGGATGATGATGATGGTGATGCTGATGATAACAATGGTGCGAATGATGATGCTACTGCTGATGCTGATGCTGACGCTGGTGCTGATGCTGTTGCTGATGATGCTGATACTGCTGATGCTGTTGATGATGATTCTGACGACGACGACGACGATGATGATGATGATGATGATGATGATGATGATGATGATGATGATGATGATGATGATGATGATGATGATGATGATGATGATGGTGATGGTGATGGTGATGGTGATAATAATGAGGATGAGGATGATGAGGATGAGGACGATGATGCTGCTGCTGCTGCTGATGATGATGATGATGATGACGATGATGATGATGTTGCTGCTGCTGCTGCTGCTGCTGCTGCTGATGATGATGATGATGATGATGATGATGATGATGATGATGATGGGGATGATCATGAGGTGGAAGAGGTTAAGGGTAAGGCTCGTTGGAGGCATATTGATCTTGGTCATATTGAAGGGTGCCTCTGCGAGAAAATTTGAATGCAAGCCGAAGTCTTCAACCGAGGTCTGCCAGGCCTGCGCGACTTGACCCTATTATGGAAATGTCGAGGCCGCCGGGGCCGCAAGCAGGAGGCTCCAGCCTCTCGCTCGGCATCTTGAAAACAGGCTGCCTCCGCTCTGGGGCAGAGTAGGAGGAGGAGGAGACATTGGAGTAGGAGGAGGAGGAGGAGGAGGAGGAGGAGGAGGAGGAGGAGGAGGAGGAGGAGGGAGGAGGAGAAGAAGGAGGAACAGGACGAGGAGGAGGGAGATGAGGAGGAGGATCAGGAGGAGGATGAGCAGGCTGAGACGGAGACGGAACGGGAGGAGGAGGAGGAGGAGGAGGAGGAGGAGGAGGAGGAGGAGGAGGAGGAGGAGGAGGAGGAGGAGGAGGAGGAGGAGGAGGAGGAGGAGGATTATGAGAGTGGAAAAAATAGAATGAGGGAGACCAGGGATATGAAGGAGGAGGAGGAGGAGGAGACCGCTGCGTGCCTCCAAGGTCGCAGAGCGGCGCTGGGGGGCCCAGCGCGTCGAGCATCCGGCTGGCAGCCACGGGGGGGTCTCCTCCTCCGGCTCCTGCTCACGCTCTGTTTCCCTACTCCTCAGCAAAACCATGATGTCGCGGGATCTCGTCGGCGCGGGTCGGGGTCATGGGCCATGTCGGTCGTCGCCGATTCGCGGGGATGGTTCACGAGTTGGCGATGAGCAAGATGGACGATGAGACCAACATCGGCACTGACGTTTCCGCGTTCAGTCTTTGTAATGATAGTCGGTTTCCTTCCCACCATCTTAGTCCTCGTGCAGCCTGCTACCCATTACCGCGAGCCCTTCGGCGCTCGCCAACGGGCGAATCTCTCGTTCTATCTCTCTCTCTTTCTATCCCTCTCTCTTCCTTTCGCTCTCTCTCTCTGCCTCTAAGGGAGGAGTGGTGCGGGTGCGGCACGCTCCCCCCTGGTGCTTGTCCTTTTCATTCCTCCGTCCCTCACTCATTCCTGTCACCCCCGCCTCCCGCCATCACTGCTCCTGCTGCTTCTCTTCCCTCCTCCTGCTGCCCCTCTTCTCCTTCATCTTTCCTTCTTCTCCTCCTCATCTTCATCGTCATTCTCTCTTTCTGTCTCTCTCTCTGCCTCTCTCTCTCTCTGTCTCTCTCTCTCTCTCTGTCTCCCTCTCCATGTCTCTTTCTTTCTCTTTCTTTTTTTTTTGTTTTGTTTGTTTTGTTCTATTTTTCTCTCATTCCTCCTGTGCTCCTCTCGCCCTCCTTCCACTCCCTCTCCCTCTGCTCGTTCACGGGAGCGGCCAGACGATGATTTAGCAGGCTTTGCGCGATGGGGGATCCGTTCACGCTTCATTTGTTCAGGCGGTGATATGGCAGCGAAGATTTATGTCTGCGTCGGCGTCGGGGACTCTTGGCATGCGGATACGAGGACGATGCGTGGTCATCCAATAACGCTCGTGCCCATCGTGCTCCTTACCATGCTGCTGATGGTGGTGGTGGTGGTGATGATGCTGATAAGTATGCTGCTGCTGCTGCTTCTGATGATGATGAAGGTTGCGACCTTGATATTTTACAGGCTAATGCCATTCCGCGGACCCTCGTTCGAGCGTTCCTGTGATGATGCCATCGGCCACATCGCCGTATTGGTTCCGTCCGAGAGGCCAGCTGGGCGCCTTCGGGCACATCTTGGGGGCCATCTGTGGGCCTTCGGGCATCCTCTGGGGGTCTCGGGGCCGTGTTGACGAGTGCGAGGGCAGCCTGGGCCCATCAGAGGCAGCCTGGGCTATCCTGCCCGACTTCTTGGTGGCCCCTGGAATTCATTTTGGGCAAGTTTGAGCTGAACAGTTGCAGTTGCGGATGCTAAGGACTATCGGGGCCAGTTGCAGCTGTTTGCTTTTTGCCTCTCCATGGCTTTCTGCGAGGTCATCTAGGCTCAATACTGGAGCCACATTGGGGCCATATTGGAAGCTGTCATGCCATTTCCTGGGCTATCTTGGACAATTTAGGGAGCTGTCTCTGACAATCTGGGGCCCGATTGGAGGCACCTAGAGAGAACTGTCAAAGGCATGGAGTTTCCGTTCGACGATTTGGAGAGCCTGGAGGGTCCAGACGGTGCGCTCACGAGCTGGCCCGCCCCCTCGAAGAGGATCTTGAGACCCCGGGGAGGAGGAACGGCAGGTGGGGGACCGCCAGACACCTCTCGCGCGATTTTTCCTCAGGGCAAGCGGTGTCGGAGGGTTTTTCAGTCGTTTTTCTTTCGCAGCGAGTGCAAGCAGACTGATACGACCACCAGCGTCACGAGCGACACCAGTCACGTACGCGTGCGGCGGCCCGGCGCTGCGAGGTGCCAGGAGCACACTGACGGAGACCGTTCGCTCCTCGTGCCCCGTCCCCCTTCTCCTCCTTCCACCCCTTTTCTCCTCCTCCTCCTCCTCCTCCTCTTTCTTCTCCTCGTCCTGCTGCTGCTGCTGCTGCCGCCCCTCCACCCCATGTCTTTCTCCTCCTCCGAAGCATGATCCAAGAGGCTTCCGCCATTCCGCCGAACCGAAGAAGAGGCGTGGAGTCCGCGGTTGAGGCGTCGTGAGTTTTTTGGCCACTATGTGGGGATTCTTGTGGGCGTCTTGAGAGCTGTTTAATGGCCTGGCGGAGCCTCTTGGGGGCAGTTTTGAAGCGTGTCGGCGGCCGCCTTGGGGCCTCCTTCCCCTCCTCCGAAGTATGATTCTCCGTCTCGCCCGTCCGCGCCTCATTGAGGAACGTCCCGGGCGTGCTCCGAGCGCCGTTCGGTGAGGGCCGCGAGAAATGGGAGAGGGGCGGTGGAGCGCGACTGGGTGCCCGTGGGATGGCCGAGGCCCCGCGAGGAGGAGGAGGAGGAGAAGGAGGAGGAGGAGGAGGAGGAGGAGGAGGAGGAGGAGGAGGAGGAGGAGAAGGACGACGTGGCAGGGCGGGCTCTCATGTTTGGCTCAAAGGGGCTCGAGGGACCTTCGGGATGTGCCTACCCGTCCGAAGTCCTCGAGAGCCACCTGAGGCTTCGTCCGTGCAGGGCCCCGCTCGGACGTCCCGTGGCCTGGCGTGGGAGCGTCGGGGCAGCCGCAGAGGTACACATGGATAATTTCGAATTCTGCGTAAATTCTTTGATTTTTTGGGGCCAAGATCCTTTCATTTCTACTTGTTCTATCCTGGGCCTCTTCCCGCCCACTAGGGGGCCAGGAACAATTAGAAACGAGCACAATTAGAAATGAGCACGATTAGAAATGAACGACGTGCACTGGCGTGAGGTCTTCCTTTGTATTTGGTGCATTCGGGCGGGTTGTAACTCGGGGTGCCAAAATCGGGGGTGAAGACAAGAGCCTAAAATGGGCCAGTTTCTTCACCTCCAATTAGGTCACCCCCGCTGCCACCCGCCCGATATTTCTTGTTCCCCCGGCCTCACACTCGGAAGTGCGTTGGGCGTTGGGCTCGGCGTGTGGAAGCGGGAGTCGGGTGGTAAAGCCAGCGCCGACCCATCAGCTACCCCAAGCGGGCTGACTCGCCAATGGCCCCATGGGCCCCGCGATGCTCGTCTCCTGCCGTCGTTTTGACCCGACTTTCATAAGCAACAGCAGGCTCTGCCGACTCATCCAGTGAGCGGCCGGCATCCACCGCAGGCGAGACTCAGTATTGCTCATGCCGGCGCCTCTGCGCTCGCCCGCTGCACCCGAGCGGTGGCTCCGTGCGCAATGATCCCCGCCTGACCAGACGCTGCCTCCCAACTGGGGCGTTCTGGAAGGGGTCTCGCCTTCGGCACGCCTCGCCCCTCGTCGCATCGTCGCCCTCGGCGGGAGGCCCGCGGAAGCTGGCGGAAGCAAGACGCTGGCGGCCTGCCGCCGGCGGAAGGCCGGCGGAAGCAACAGGGAGACGTCAACATTTTCTGGCTACACGTATCGGCGGCCAGCGAGAGGGGGAAGTGAGAAGGGGCGGGTCTTTTCAGAAGATTCGGAAGTCTCACGGTCTTTGAGAAGTTTTCTGAGCCTTCCCCGAAGACACAGAACCTCTCAGGAGGCGCGATGGCCTCTGAGAAGTTCCACCGCCTTCTGTGCGAAGGCCTTCTCCTTCTCACTTCCTTCCGTCGTCCGCCGCCGAACGTAAGAGTGACCATTCGCCGGAGTGACGTTTGGTACGGGCCCCAATGGGGCCCCTCTCATGGCTGAGCGCGATGCGATAATAGCATCTTGCGCGCTTGTGCTTGGTCCCCCTGAGGCCCCGGGAAAGCCGAGCACCAAAGGTCACTCTTACCCAGGGTCACCCTTGTGTGCGGCCGAATTTTTACGTCCAGGGTGCCAGGGTGTCCGGAATCGGCCAAATGGCCTTGCTTCCCCTCTCCCCTGGCTTGCGCCCGGGTCTGCACTCTTGGCCGGATGCTCGCGGCGCCCGTCTGGAGGGCAGGCTCAGCTGCGCTGCCGCGCGGCGATGGCCGAGAAGCAGGCCGAGGAGACGTCGGCAGAGGACGGTGCCGGCCAGAGTGCGGTTGGCGTCGCGACCTCGTCCTCCACCCTCTTTGTCCCTCTGCTGATGCCGCCGCTTCTCTTCGTCTTTCTAGCCCCGCTTCTGTTCCTCCCGAGCCTTTTTCAGTTGCCCCTCCACACACAAATAATAAGAAAAAGCGTTGCTTCTCCTCTCTTGTTCCCTTTTGCTCGCGTTCCTGCTGCTCCTCTTCCTCCAGGGCCTCCTTCTGCTCCTGCTGCTGCTCCTGCCCTGGGAATCTCCAAGGGACATAAAAAGGAGCTCAGATGTACTCGAAAGTTGTCGGAGCACGAGTCGAAGCATCAAATGTTTGGCGATTTTGGCCAACGTGCATCTGTTTTGAAACTATGTCTCTTGTGAATGTGTGTTGAAATCTCCGTGGAAGAAAGTGCAAGGCTTGTGGGGCTCTCACCTTAGCACCGCTCGCTTTCGTTTCATAGTTCGCAACAGCTATTTGGCGCATTAGATGTTGTAAAGCAAATGTTCCTATTAATTCTAGTATATGTTGATATTGTTTATTTCTCCTGTGCGTTGTTGAACAGAAAATGTAGCATTCGCGCTAGCGCCGCGCATATTCGTCTCAACAGTTTGGAAACGCTGTAAGGATGGAGGATCAGATCGCGTTCACATTTTCGCTCTCGTCGTAGCGACGCGTCCGTTCGTGCTAGACTTTTGTTACAGTTGCGCGGATGGGAGGTGGATAGTTTTCAAATGGGGGCTCCCGCCTTAGCGCCATCGTCTTACAGGTTTGCAGCAGGTACAGGGATGGAGGACTGTTTCGTATCAAGATGTGGCTCTTGCGTGAGGCTTTGAAAAGGTAATGGCCATACGGTGGAACATCTGTAACAACTGTTCGGATGGAAGACTGCTTATTTTGAAACTTGGGTTGTCGCTTGCGATAGCTTCACATTGAAAGCCCAGAAGTGTAAACATTTGTAACAGTTGAGTGCGCGAATGGGAGACGGGTTTTTTTTAATGATTCCGCCTTTCCGCAATCCTTGCGACTCGCAAGACAGGTGCAATGCAGTTCCTTTTGACAGCGGACCTACCGCCTGAATCGCAGACCCAGGCGGTGCTCGTCTTTCAAGTGGACGCTTCTTGCAATAAAGAGGATGGCTTGTAGGGACTTGCGAGGAGGGGACTTCGAACGGGATGGTGTATTACGGCATCGTTGTTGCATTCTGGGCCTACTCTGGTCCCCCTTTTCTCCTCCTCCAGGGGCGCACTTACATATTGACAGTTTGGCCCACCAAGAGAGTAAGACTAGACACCTTTCTCTCAGCGGGCCGCCCAAAGCCAGGCTAGACCCGCCCTTCAAGCCGTCGACCGACTTCGGTCGCAAAGCGCGTCGCATGCCGCAGCGGTAGGCGTTCGTCGGAAACTCGTCCCCCCAGACGCTCCAACCTTATCCCCATCCCCCTCCACCTCCCCTCCCTTCCTCCTTCCTGTCCTCCTCCCCCTCTACTTTCCCCTCCACCCCCTCCTGGCCTCCTCCTGGCCTCCTCCTGGCCTCCTCCTCCTGCTCCTCCTCCTTCTCCCCCATTCCCTTTCCCTGTAGATAACTCCTCCCCGTCGCACCCAGAGACTGGTCGAAAGGGCGGGCCAGTCGTTTCGCCTGAGAGTTCCTCATCTTTTCTGATCCTGAAGCTTGACATTTGTAGCAGTTTCACGGATGGATGGGGGGTGGTTTTCAAACATGTGGCTCTCGCCTTAGCGCCGCGCGCATTCCTCTGGACATGCTGCAGCAGTTTCACGAATGGAGGGCGGGTGGCTTTCAAACATGTGGTTCTCGCTTCAGCGTCGCGCACACTCGTTTAGAAAAGTTGCAGGGGTTTCGCGGATGGAGGGCGGGTTGTTTTCGAAATGTGGCTCTCGCCCTACTGCCGCGACAATTCGTTTAAGGAGTCTGCAGCAGCAGTTTTTATGATTCTCCTGGTTTGCATCCCAGAAATAGTGATATGGCACGATGCCAGAATGCCAGGGCGCAACAGTTACGTTGATTCGCGGTGCTCAAGTCCCAGGAATGGTGGTCTGGCACGGTTTAGGATTTGCAGAGCGCAGCAGTAGCGGTGATTCGCTTCACTGAAGTTCCAAAGATGGTGTTCTGGCGCAGTTCATGATTTGCAGCGGTTGTCTCCAACGGGGCATTTATTTCAGATGAAACGCGCCCTTGTGGGGGTCTATGCAGAGGGAATTTGGAGGGAGAGTTTCTTGCACAATCGTTTATGAGTTTGGGCCCCCCTCCTCCTTCCCCTCCTCCTCCTCCTCCTCCTCCTCCTCTCCTCCTCCCGTAGTCATTTTGGCTCAAGATGTTTGTGCCCCGTGGCAGAGCACGGAGACCCCTGGTCCGGGGACTGCTAGGACCGCTGCTTTCCGCCTTCGCCGTGCCCGCGGCGTTGAGCATTTCCATATCCCTTGCTGCTGAGGCGCAGCTTACATATCTCTTGCCGCCAGCGCTAGCACCTCAATCGATAGCCTCGCGATGGGTGTGCCTGGTGTCGCCAGCTCCGACTCCTGGGCCGACTACACCGACAAGGACAAGGGCAAGGACACTGCTGCCGCCGACCCCTGGGCTGCTGGAGCTCAGAAGCTCGCCGCGATCGGCCTCCCCGCACACCAGAGGAAGGTGCTCACTGATCTCCTCCAGACCCAGGTCGAGAAAGCCGCCGCCACCTTCGAAGCCACATCCAAGCAAGTTGCAGCTGCTGCACAAGCTGAGTTTCTGGCCAACATCACGAAGCTCACCGAGCAGCTCAGCAACCGCCAGGAGTCCGCCGAGAGGGGTATTACCGAACTCAAAGGCCGTGCTGACCGTGCTGAACGCCTCCAAGGCGAACTCAAGGCAAGCGTGGACGCCCTACAGCAAGCTCTTCGTCATGCCGAAGCTCTCCACCCAGCCATGGATTTGGGCGCCCTGGGTGCCTGGGGCCGACCACCGAATGCTGCAACCTTCTGGTGTGGGGCTGCCTCAGAATTCTCCGTCGCCTCGCTCAAGACCGCGCTCGCCTCCTGGTTCGAAGCCGCCGACGTGGACATCGACGCGCTCCGCATCAACTCAGAGGGCCCTGCACGGATAATTTCGTGCACACTCACTGGCGGCAACTCGATTGCTCTCCCGCGAGCACAAGCTCTACATCGCGCACTTCGGCAAGGTCGTGAATGGCGTCGCTTCCAGGTGGAATCGGACTCCGGACCCACTGCCCTCTACGTCTCCGCGGACAAGTCGCCGCGCATGGTCCGCCAAGAAGTTCAACTCAAAAAGCTCAACAAGCTCATCAATGACAAGTTCCCCACGATCGAGACTCGGGTTCACTGCGCTGGAGGCTTCCTGTCTGTCGACGGTGCTCCCATCGTCCAGGTCACAGCTGGTGCCACTCCTGATGCAGCCACCCAAGTTCGCTGGTCCGACGCTGCTGCCCCTGCTGGCATCCCTATCACCGAGCATGCGCCATTGGCTACCGCGCTGGCCGCCGCATTCGCCAACCCACTGGAGGCAGTGCGGTGGCTTTAGCATGCGATGGTCGCCGTGGTTCACGAAACCTCACGGCGACGGCCTCAACTTGGTCTCGTGGAATGCACAGGCGCTCAACGGCAGATCGGCACCAAGGCGGGCCCTCAAGAGACAGTTGTTGCTCCGTTACATGAGGCAACGAGCGGTCATCGCCATCCAAGAGACGCACGGCAACAGCGTCGACATGGACCTCCTGGCCGCGGGCTCCGACCACAAGTACATCGCCTCCCACTCAGCGCTAGTGACTGACGGCCAATCCTCGGAGACCGCAGGCGGAATCGCATTCCTGGTTCCCTTTGACCGAGCTGAACTCCAACTGCCACCTGAGCAGCGATCTCTACGTTAATTTCGCGCGATCGTCCCTGGATGCATTGGTGAACTACGCGTTCAAGACGGGACAGGACAGCATGAGACAACAATCTTCAACATTCACAACTACGACCTCAGCGGATCTGACCGTCAGCGCTTCAAAACTGCGCGGCAAGCAGCTGTTCAACGCTCAGCCCTCCGCCCAGACAACCACGACTACTACATGATTGGTGACTTCAATATCGCCCAGACGCCGCCGAAGAGCCTGCTTCGCCCCACCGCAGACTCCACCGCCAAGCACTACCAGCCCGCCTTCTGGAATAACATCTTCTCACAGATGATGGAGATCACTACAGCGGCCACCGCGCGCCGATGCGTGGCCAACATGACGGAGGCGACCATCGACAGATGCTTCTTCTCGATCAACGCATCAAACATCCCGCACATCGAGGCACTTCTTGTTGCCGATGGCCGACCGCTCGACCGAGAAGGGGAGCCCATCAGCGATCACAAGATTCTACATCTACGGCTTCGGCCTCGTCAGCCACGTCCAGTCAGCGAGCGCGGCGTCCCCGCCTTCCTCTTCGAATCGAAGCACTACAAGTTCTACTACAATCGCCTTGTCGAGATGGCCGACCTCTCAGCCGACCCCATCTCAAACTGGCGTACTATGAAGCACGTAATGAAGATGGCGGCATGCAAGGCTCGCGATGCCATCGCCTCTGTCTCCGCCTCCGGGATCGAGCCGTTTGAATGCCGAAATGAAGGCCCTCAAGTCATAGCAGAGGCACGTGCACTCACACTTCGCAGTATTGCCAGGGCCGTCTGGTACCAAGACCTCACTCTCGCCCAGCGACTTCGAGAGGACACCACTGCTGGAGCACAGCACATCGACATCAGTCACCACAAGATCTCTCTAGTCGACCGCTCCGCGTTCGAGACCGAGCACTCCGCCATGCAGCTTCAGATTGCTGAACAACGACGTCGCGCTGCTGCCGCCCGCTCGCGGGCTGCCTACGCGGAACAACGACCCGACCTTCGTGGACGATGGCGTTGTCGTGCCCGTCGTATTGGACAGCGCAGCGAGATCTGGAAGCCGTTCTCGAAGCGCTTGATTCTTGCAGGTGTCCGCATCACCGACAGCAGAGGCCCGACAGTCGCCAACGACCCCATGGACATGCACAACGCTATTCAATCTCATTGGTCGAAGGTGTTCGATGCTAAGCATGTTGACACCCCAGCGATGCAGCAATATCTGGACATGGTCTTCCCACCAATGCTTCCACGCCACCTGCCTCTACCTGAGATTGAAGAACTCCAAGCTGCTGCTAAACACGCCAGTGACTCTGCTCCTGGGCCTGACGGACTGCCTTATCGAGCATGGGTACGATCAGCAGACAGCACCGAGATCCTCCACACACTTCTCCACTCCATTGCTCACGGTGGACTGATCCCGCACGACCTGAACTACGCGCTCATGGCCATGCTTCCCAAGGGTGATGAGCCCATGGGCAACTACGAGTGCTCGCGCAGTCCTGACTGTCTACGCCCCCTCGCCATGAAGAACAGTGACATCAAGATCATCGCTTCCGCGACGAACCGCATCCTCAGCTCCGTGGCGTCGGACACCGAGGAAGAACAACAAGGTTTTGCCAATGGCCGTCAATTTCTCTCCAACATTGCCAAAGTGGACACCAGCGCCCGTATCGCCAGCATCAACAGCGATGCCTCCAGCATGATGCCCTGCTTCGCCAGCATGGACATCGCCGCAGCGTTTCCGAGCCTCACGCACACGTGGTTGTGGGCTACTCTAAGGCGGTGGGGCATCCACGGCATCTTCCTCAATCTCCTGCAGTGCTGCTACAACATTCCACTTGCCTTCCTCGGCCTAGGTGGTATTCGGCGACCGCTACTTCTAGCAGAATCTGGGGTTGCGCAAGGATGCCCCTTGAGCGGCGCGCTCTGGGCGCTAGTCTTTGATCCCATCATCAAGGGCCTCAAGATGGAACTTACTGCTTTGGGTAGAGGCCTGCTCAGCGCATGCGCCGACGACCTAGGTATAGTTCTTGCTGCACTTCGGGATCTTAGCGCCCTACTACCACACCTGCAAGCTGCACAACATCACGCTGGGCTCCGCCTCCAACCGAAGAAATGTGTCCTCGTGCCCACCTGGTCCCTGCCAGCGCCCGAGATCACCGCGAGCATTTGTGCCATCCTGACCCAGCTCTACGAGCCGTGGCAAGACTTCTCCATCAATAGCTTTGCGCGCTACCTCGGCGTGTACATCGGCCCTGGCGCATCTCTCGGCCGTCAGTGGCAAGGTCCTGCCAACAAGTGTTGGGGGCGCATCCAGATCCTGAGCGACTCCTACGCTCCCATCCAGCAGTGCATCAAGATGTACACCTCCGCTGCCACCACATGCCTCTCGTACGTCGGCCAGCTCTACCCGCCTTCTCCAGCATTCCTGTTCAAGGAGATTCACGGGTTCCACAAGCTGATCCGAGCTGCCCCATCAAGCTTCACGAAGATGGACATTCTGTCGTTCTCGCTATGGGCGTCCGCCACAATGCCACAGGGTATTGAAACGCTTCTTGCAGCAACGATGTGGCGCGCCTCCACGACCACCATCCCCGGATGGCAGCCCCTGCTTCACGCACTCCGTGCCCATGCTGAAGAACTTCTCCCGCTACGAGATGTTGCTGCTGGCAAATGGTCTGCTTCATGCTGGCTTGGCGCCACTTCCATCGTGCAGCGATTCGACGACATACTTCACAATAAGCTGATCGCGACGGGCAAAGGATCCATCTTCAATATTCTCACGCGATCCACAGGATCTACGGTGAATGCCGCCCAGATACTTCAACGAGCACATGCGCAAGCTGCTGCTGCTGGTCGACACGCTATCATGGCATCCCGTCGTAACAAGGCGGATGATCGGTACACGCACAGTCGTGACAGGACTGGAGCTCACCAGGCACCCCGCCATGACAGGGCTGGTGACCTTCACACACCCAGTCGTGACAGGGCTGGCGGACCTCATCAGAGACATGCTGGAATCATAGCTTCGGATGTTGCTACTTCGAGTGCCACTTCACGCACCTCTCCACAACAAGCATACCTACGGGAACTACAACGCCAGCTGTACCGCGACTCCTTCCATAAGACTATCCATCACCGTCTCCGTGCCTGGTTCCCACTACTTCCTGTTGACGGTGGACCGCAGATGACACCTGCTACGACCGAGCAGCCGAATGGAAACGACAACCATGACTCCATGAAGTATCTGAAGGAACGTGCAGAAGCATGGGCAGCAATATGGAATCCCAGCGTATTCTTCGGCCGCGATATGGACAACTTCAACGACTGGATGGACTGGTGCGTCCCGTACATCACAGCGGTTCTTCACCGCACCCAGTTCAACGCGCACTTCTGCCTCGACGACCAGTGCGGGTCAGCCAGTACTCGCCGTGACATGGCGAAGGAGATATGTTACGGTGCGTGGCAACGAGCTATCTCGCAACCACCGTCTACAGATCTACACCACCGAGCACATGCCGACGAACGCTCATCGAGAATTTGCTGATGAAGCTGCTGAACACCGCGCCCGTCGTCGCTGGATCGAACGGGAACGTGCCACCAACCCGAACATCCCGCAGGAAGACGACGGCACTCAGTCCACCACTACGGCCACCTCCACACCTCACATCTACACCGCCAATGACATCATGATGGGCTCCGATACATCCGCCCGTGACGGACTTCTTGGCCGAGCTGCTCTCCCTGCGAGTGTTGAGCAAGGCTGGCGCGACCTGCGGCCTCACTTGGCGAACTCCACGGCCTCGCTATTCTGGCCCGTGGTCAAGACCTTGTCTGGGGCATGGGCGACATCGCACCGCATGCACGTCAACCCCCACAAGAAGAACTGCCTGTTCGGATGCGACAAAGACTCGCATATCAAGAACACGGACGACATCAGCCACTACATTACATGCCCACGAATGTGGGCGTTACTGGCTCTACCTCGTGGTCAACCTGCTGGTGACGTCCTCACACGGCTCGGACTCCACGAGAGCAACAACGTCGACGACCATCCGAGGCACACCATCACACGCATGGCCGTAGCCTTCCGCACGTACAACATCATGCGGGTGCGCACCGAGCTGGGCACGCTCGCCATCCACGACGAGCTCAATATCCACAAGGAGGTGGTCGCAGCCGTCCGCCGCGTCCTGAGGTTGCCTCGGTGCCTCGTGGGCGGCGCGGGCCCGCTGCGCCTCTAACCCGCGGACACGCGCCCCCTTCAGCGCGTCGTTCGCTCCTCCTCTCCTTCTCCTGCTCCTCCCCTCCTCCATTTCTTTTCCTTCTCCTGCTCCTTCCCCTGCTCCTTCCCTGTCGCACCCCGAGGCCAGTCGAAAGGGCGGGCCGGGCGATTCGCCAGAGCCTTCCTCACCATGTCTGGTTCTGAGGCTTGAAACTTGCAACAGTTTCACGGATGGAGGGCGGGTGGTGGTCAAAGTGTTGCTTTCGCCTCAGCGCCGCGCGCGTTCGTTTGAACAAGCAGTTTCACGGATGGAGGGCGGGTGGTTTCAGAATGTGACTTTCGCCTCAGCGCCGCGAGCATTCTTTTTACAGTGTGCACCAGCTTTATGGATGGAGGGCAGGCGGTTTTTAATATGTGGTTCTCGCCGTAGCACCGCGCGCATCCGTTTTTAAGAGTTTACAGCAGTTTCATGGAGTCTCATGGTCAACATCCCGAACGTGGTGTTCTGGCACGTTGTCAGACTGTCAGGGCGCAACATTCGCGTTGCTTCGTGGTGTTGAACTCCCAGGAATTGTGTTCTGGCACGATCCAGGATCGTCAATATGCAATAGCAGCGGTGCTTCGCGACGACGAAGTCCCAGGAATGGTGTTCTGGCGCAGTCCAGGATTTTTAAGCGGCTGTCTCCCACCGGGGCATCTCTTTCAGCGACAATGAGTCCTTGTAGGGGCCTGTGAAGAGGGAGTTTGGAGGGAGGAGGAGAGGAAGAGGCGGAGGAGGAAGAGGAGGAAGAGGAGGAGGAAGAGGAGGAGGAAGAGGCGGAGGAGGAGAGGAGGAGGAGGAGGAGGAGGAGGAGGATGATGATGATGAGGAGGAGGAGGAGGAGGAGGAGGAGGAGGAGCCTCGAGGGTGCCGAGGCTGAAGATCCTTGAGGAATCTTGGGTTTGCACTGGCCTTCCTCCCCCTCTTCCTGCCCCCCCACTCGAAGCCCGGGGGCCCGCCCGGTGCTCTCTCTCTCTCTCTCTTTTTCTCGGCGCCGAGCGCGGCCCCTGCGCCCCGACCGGCCAGGCTCGCGCCCGCCTCGCCGCCGCGGAGAGTGCGGCGAGCCAGGAGCCCCCTCGGGCCACGCGCAGAAGGGGGGTAGGGGGAGGGAGAAGGCTTCTTAGGAAGAGGGCTGCTTCTTAGCAGGCGCTGGCCTCACATCTTTGGATAAGGCCCGCGCCTTCTGAGAAGCAGCCTGCTTCGAAGAAGCCTTCTCCATTCCCCCTACCCCCTTGTGTGCGCCGCCAACCCTCGGGCGGGGGCGCCAGGGTGGGGGCGGAACAGAAACCGTCCCTGAGATCTTGGCGTTGCGAGTTTTTCACGTCGTTTTTTTTGCCCAGTTTCAGGC